ACCTTTAAGACAGACACCGGGCTTAAGGTTGTCTGACATTTCTTCTAAACTGCGTCTAGTACGTGAAATAAACGGTTCTGTTGTCAGTTCGTCAAATATACTGCTAAGAGATTCTACAGTAGATGATGTAGTAGTTGTAGTAGTAGAAGGAGTTGTAGTAGTTGTGGTTGTTGTTGTCGTTGATGACATGTGACTTAATGATTTTGTAGTAGTTACGGAAGGGTACGATGTTATTACAGATCCATCCGTACTGATAGGGAGTACATTCAATATATGTGGTAATTGCTTTTGCATTGTAGTGGAAAAATCGCTTAATGAGTGTGGTGAAGTAGGTAGTTCGATATTTGGCAAATGTGTATCCGCAATAGGTAGGCAAGAGCAGTTAGAGTAAAACTATTTTAAATTTTTATTAAAAACAACAAAAAACATTTATTATAAAATACTTTGTTATACCTTTTCTTCTGAATTCCAGTTTAAGCAACCAGCATGACATGGTGAAAAGTAAGTTGTATCTGAAGGTTCATGACATATGGGTGAATAAGGCACACCTTCACATGAGCAATTTGCATTGCAAGAAGAGGAAAGATTGACTCTAAAAATAAGAGTTCAAATTATAACAAACTATTTATATAATTGATATTTTTCAACAAAAAACATACTGTCCATCCTTGAGTACAGATAGGGAATCGCCACAATACATAAACATGTAAGAGATTTGTCCCACAATATATATACAACCTACGATAACATTCCACATGAGCACCTTACTCGGTTTTGGCTTGTTTTTTGAGATTACTAAACCAGAACCGATTAATCCAATAACCATACCAATAATAGATACTGGGCCCACGACAATTGTAGCACCTTGTGCGTTCTTATGAAATTGCACTTCCATGTATTTAGTTAGAAAAGTCATGTAACCGGCAGCGCCCAAAACATAGAAAATACCAGAAATTATATTAAAGATGAGCAATTTATTACGCAGAAGTCGCATTAATGCCTTGGGAAAATCTAAAATTACAGTACTTTATTATGTACATTCTTTAAAATTGACTGAAGTTAGTTTACCCTTGAGAGTAGGAAAATCAGATGTAGCCGCTGTTGGTGTGTCCAATGCGGCATTTGAGGAGAACCCACTACCTAAAGGTAACCCCTCATCAACTTGTAGTTCTTCATGTCGCAAAACTTGTGGTAAGTGGGAGTTATAATGCGCACTTCTACGTTTTGGTAATTCTTTAGGAAATAAACCAATTAGTCCAGAAAAAAGTATCATTAAAGTGCCTAAAAACATCCAACCGAACCACCAGGCACCCAGCCAGCGTTGATCCGTATTATCGATAAGCGGAGTTTTTGTCGGGTCAATGAACATGTTAAGAGAAATATAACCTAAAGAGAATAATTTTAATTGATTTATTAACATTGTAGAAATGTTTAGCTTACCTAGGAAAAAGCCCACTATTGGACCAATCATTCGCAGGGACATCGCTACTGCCAACATAAGTGGAGTATTAGTCTTCTTTGTATTATCGTCGAGATAAGTTTGCCCAAGTGAATAATAAAGAGTATTTCCTATACCAAGCACAAACTGAGAGAGGAATATTAATATCAATGGAACGATTGTTAGAAGAGTATCGCATTCATTTGAAGACATGATGGAACCACATAAGTGTTGTGGGTCTTTGATTGTAAAATTCTATAAAATCGAAAATGAAATTATATTCGTGTTTACCATATAAATAAATGGAAAAGTTTTAAGGAATTCTTATTAGGAGGAAAACAATGTTCACCTACAACCAATGAGATTGTGTTTGTCACATTTCCACCAAGTTCCATGCTTTCATAGTACTCCTTTGTTAGTTGCAATGCATCTTCACCAGCACCATAAATGAAATGCGGCAAAGCTAATATATAGCAGGAAAGGCCACAGAAAACAATACCCCAAGCAATCCATCGTGGTCGATTACGTTGTCCACCAATGTATGATAATATAAGAGACAGTAAAATCTGTGATATTTCATTGCCACTTAAAATAACTCCTGAAATAATAAATTTGAGATTATGTTTTTAAATGTTTCATTTAAAAATTCTTTTAATAATATTGAGTGTGACGACTTTAATATATAAAATCTAAAATATAAATCAAATTGTAGCCCTCAGATCATCATTTAGATCTCTCTGTGACTCTCTTTTAAATACACTAAAAAATTTAAGTTTAAAAAAGTAACACAAATAAACAAATTGAATCAGGTTTCAATATATTTGCGGCCCTATGCTCCTCCTAGGAGTTAAAGGATTAAAAATATATATATATATTTAAATATATATATTTCTGCTACGAGGGAGTCTAAAAAACTTTCTGGAAAAACTTTCTGGAGGTTTAATTTGCAATCATTAGAGGAAGTGTCCTACGAATATTGTAAGCAATGTTGGCTTTCAAAGTTTTCGATTATAGTCCACTCCTGATATCTATTGAGTAATGTCCGATGGTACTAACATCCTCTAAATTTTAAACATATGTATAATAAGTTTTTAGTTATTACTTTTATATTTTTAAGAACTTTGGTTCTCTGACTATATCATACCCCTGTACATACTAAGTACTATATTGTGATAAGATGGCCTTCACTCACCTGTTGTTTGACTTGGTATTTTAAAGCGTTTCTCAATCGTTGTTAATGTTACTATGAAATACATATACGACATCGCCTGAATGGTTCCCAGTAATCCATAAACTGCCATGAACATTTTTGTTGTTGCATATTTTTGCATCCATAGTGGATGCCAACTGGCTAAGCCACATAAGTGGTTGTTATTTCGACGAATTTCAGTTGATGGCATATTGATACCGCATTCGAATTAAAGATTTAGTAAATAATTTATTCAAACTACAAGAGAAAATAGACAAATATATTTATAACATATAAGTAATACAATAATTCTTTAAATGTTTAATTTAACAATGTTTTAATCGGATTTTATTGGAAACAAAAACAAAATAATACGTCATTTTTTTTTATTTTTTTCACAGACACAAAAGGCCATCAAAGGTAAAATTCAAACCTCTTCAGGCACTTCGCTGCTATACAATTTCGTAGCTATTGTACACTAACAGACCCTTCACAGAACACCTATGGATACGTTTGTTTTATGCCAACTTGGAAGAAAGTTGCCTCTACCGCACCTTAATATTCACTTTCTCTTCTATCAATCACAGCAATACAGAATCCATATTATGTTTATGAAAGTGCTTTTATAAAAAACTGTAAATTGATAAAATAAATAACGAACACTATTCCTACAATCCAACAGTATCCATTGTTCTAGAAGTCACACTTTTGCCGATATGCATCAGGTACCAAACGGAAAGGGCAGTTTTAAGAATGAAGAAAGGAAACCTAATAGACAGTTGGCTCCATAGCAAGATTTTCGAAAATCTTCCTAAACAGAATTTTCAATGCCTGGGATTTTCATCGTGTCTCCGATGAATCCTAAGTTCAGCTTTACTAAGCTCTTTAAAACTGAACTAAGCAACAAAAAGAGCAAGGAAGTCATTAATCAAACCTATCAGCTCACGAATAGCACAATCACATGGATCATTGACGGCTCGCTTACGGAGGAAGATACCGGAGTGGACATAGTCAGAGCAGGCAACAAGCATTGAGAAGCGTTGGTAAAATTATTAATTGGATATTAATTTTCTAAACGCAAGTTCATTATGACTCTCTATGTTAGCTTATTTAATTTTATACCATGGAACTTATAATCTTATAGTTGTTACAGGTTTTTAATTCAATTTAGAATATACGTAAATCTTAGAGAATAAACTGTGGTAGCAAATTATATACGTATCAAAGGACTTATCTATCTTAGCATGGGGATGAACAAATTCCACCAGTCAACAGATATTACTAGAGACGCTACAAAACTAGAATTCAGACTTTTTTCAACCGACATAAGTTATATTCCATCCCATCTAAGCGTATATTTAATAGCACACCAATAAAAGTGTTTGAGAGGAAACTTACGTGGTACCCCATGAATTGACGATGATTTACACATACAAAAGAACCATGATTTTTATGAGATTTGCACTATATGCACGATATCCAGTGAATTAATATTCAGTTGCTCTGTGGCTTGGTCATGTGAAAGAAGTGTTTCATGTGGCAGTCGGGACCTTTAATACCACTCGTACTAGATTGAGGAGTCTCGAGCATGAAGAGGATATATATTCCATTGGTGGGAACAATTATATAAGTAAGTAATATATGTTACACGTTGTCATCCCTTCGGCGAATTTTAGTGTTATAAGGCAACAATATAAAAGCAAGAGTACAAGAAGTAAACACTGAAACCAAATTTTAATCAATAAGTAATAAAGCCCCTTAAATACGAGTAGTGGATGGAAAATCCGCTATACAAAAGCAAAGGCAACATAACCATATGTTTGGAAATGTTATCAAAAGCTGCCAAAAACCACACTGATCATAACCGATATCTAATAAGAAAATAATACGTACCTATACGTATTTTAATTATTTATAAATTATTTAAAACAAAAACTTGCCTAATGTTTTTTTTGAAATTTTTGTTGTTTTAAAAGGAATGATAAATGCTTTGATAAGGTTTTTTATGACTACTTCTGTATGCAGGCCGCAACTACTGAGCACGACGTTTGAGGCTGTTAACAAACTTAAACTAATTGATCAATATTAAATTTAAAAACTCTTAAAAGTTAAGGAAACTGAAGAATAATAAACGCAAAAAGCAATTAATGACCAACGAAATTAAAGACAGATTAGATAAAATTGGTTATTGGTCGTTCGTTTACTGATTATAACCGATAAAGTGATTCTTCAAAACTTGAACGGAATGTAAATGGAATAGAATATTGAAAGTGAAAATACTTTGTTATTGTAATTATACATTAATTAAATATAAACAATTACATACTTCACATATTCATAATGGAAAAAATTTATTAAACTATAAATATTTTACTAATTTTAATAACAGAGTTGTTAATATGATTTTGACAATTGCAAATAATTTCATAAAAAAAATTTCCAGACGTATCTCTCTTAAACCATCTGGGTTTAATAATAGACATAAGAGCATTCATAAATTATCTATATTAACGCTTGTCTATATTCTTATCAAGAAAGTTCTGCAAAAGTTTGTGCTGAAGACGTCCACTTAAATGTCTTCTATGATAAAAAGGGACTACTAAACACTGTTTTTTTTTTAATTTTCAAGCACGAAAGTTGAAGAAAGTTAGGTTAGGTTAGATTATACCGGCTATTCCAGGAGATCCACTTTTGCTACCATATTATTAAAAACTGATGCACTCCGTCTGGCTAGCTAGTCTGCTTTGCGATTGTCGAAAATTCCCCTATGACCGGGAAGATTCGAGAGATATTGAACTGCGTCGACATCTCATTTAGAGATGTGCAGCAGTCAAAGACTGCCCTATATGTAAAGTGGACTAAACTAAATGACTTTAAAGCAGCTTGACTATCTGATAGTATATTAGATAGTATTCCTTTCGAGTATATAATCTACGTCTAAATAAGCTAAAGCTTCCTTTATCGTAGTCACTTCTGTTTGAAAAATACTACAGTGATATGGAAGTCTATAATATGATGATATGCTCAGTTCTTCTGAGATGAAGAGAGTTAAAATTTAAAAGTTTTTGTGCCGTAGAACATATTTTCGGCCAAAGGAACTTTAACGTTTACGGCTGTAGTTTTGTTTTATACACATCTGTTAATATATTTAAAACTGAATATAGAGGATATCACTAGAAGAATCAAGGCGAAAGGCTAGTTTTATGAATATAAACAAGTTATACATTTTAACATGTATATGATAATAGAAAACGTAATCATTCTACGAATATAACGTTATAGTCTTTTAAACCGAATAGAGTGAATGAATGAATGACGCACATCAATGATTTATGTAGTATCTTTGAAGAATCTTTACGTTCAGGTATACATGTACGGAAAATTAGGTAAATCTACATATATACTCGTACACGGTTACAAAACATTTAAATAACAAAAATTATATATTATATATAAAAAAATATGTAATAAATTGGTCATACATGACACAATCGTTTCGAACAGATATAGCAACAAATAAGAGTAGTGAAAAATAAATAGAACATTAGCAGGACATTAGAAAAAACTGGACCAGACAAAAGAGATCAAAATTAGAGATAGTCGGTGTTGGAATAAGGTGTTGAAATACAGCACATCCTAAAATTAATAGGATGAAGAGGATTAACTTGAGAATATTTTCAGATAATTTGAGTTTGTAAAATAGAGGTATTAGTATCAAAAGTGAAATAAAAAATTTTTTTATTAACTGAATTTTATTTAATATTTAATTTAAGAAAAAAATCCCCTTAGAGCAAAAATTTTAAATGGGCACTTAATTGATTTCGAAGAATTATTTTGCTTGTCATGGACTTCTGTGAGTTTTGCTTTAAGGCACAGTCTCCACTATCTTATCTTTTATAGACTATTTAGTGTAAAACAACATGTTTTCAACGAAGTACTTATGTATATAAACCACATATGTATCAGAGCAAGTATCGTATTATTGTATTATGATTAAACCAATTTTTATAATTTTTATTATTGTTATTGACCAATTTTTAATTATACTTTATAAAAAATTAAAACTTAAGAATTTTATGATCATGTATTAGTATATAAGATATTTATATATACATATTTATATATATACATGAATTGCTAGACAGTGGTAAGACGATTACTTTGCAGAATAGGTGTAATAAAATGATTTTTAAAATTTATTTGTAACTCTCACATGATATTCATTTCTGTCCTGTTATTTGGATATTATAATAGCAAATAGAGTAAGTAACAGCTAAGGAATAGTAATTACAATAAATAAAACATACCAGAATAAACTTAATAGTTTGTTTCTAAGATAAACTAAATAGTACAGTTTTTTCTGCAAGTTAGGCGTTAGCAAAAGTTTAAGATGCACGATATACCTATTATATTATATATATATTTTGAATCCTTTAACTCCTAGGATTGTTGGCTAGTAGCTTCAACTCTTCCCAGCTATTCCACATGTGCAACATTTCCATATCAATTTGCCTTCTCCAAGTGTGTGCAGGTCTGCTCCTTCTTCTCTTCCCATCGGGTTCCACTCAATCGCCATTGTGGTGTCACCAGTCGGTCTACGCAAAGTGTGACCGACCCAGTCCCATTTGGGTTTTTTGATTTCGGTTTTGTGTTTGTTGAGTTAAAGACCATAAACGTTCATTTGGAATTGTATTTGGCCAAAATACTTTAACTTGTAGTGCATTGATGCCGTTTTCCGCAGCATTCCAAGATTGACATCCATATAGGAGCCAAGGTTTTATATTGGAGTTAAATATTCGTATCCTTCTTGATCTCCTTCTTGATACGATTTTCGATATCAGCACTGGATCCA